TCCTTCAGGCTCCCTCCTCCACCAGGGCCACTATTTCCTTAGCCAATCCCGAAGTCTCCGTACTAAACTACCACTCTGCACTCCACCAGCCCTCGGCGGCACCCATGGCAGCAGTGGCCCAGCGCAGCATGCCCCTGCAGACCGGGACAGCTCAACTTTGCGCCCGGCCCGACCCCTTCCAGCAGGCTCTCATCGTGTGTCCCCCCGGCTTCCAAGGTAAGGGCAAGCGGCCGCAGCCAGCGTGACCCGCAGGGCCCCGGCCCCACGGCAGAGCCCTCTGGAAAGCCCTGGTCCTTTCCCTCAGTGTTGTTACAACAGAACTTGAGGGCGCCTGTAGGCCATAGCTGACCTAGACACGGGGCCTGTACGCCTGGCCCGTAGTGGATCCTTGGTGTTTGGTGTTCGTACCTCAGGCGGAAGATTTCATCCCTGTCAGACCCTCTACAAATGGGCCTTAGTTCTCAAGTGCTGCCATAACAGAGTTACCACTGGGGATGGCTGTAACAAACAGGAATGTCTTCTGTCACAGTCAGGAGGCTGGAAGTACGAATTCGGGGAGCCAGCCCCAGGGGAGGCTCTCGTTCCCTGCCGGCTTCGGAGGAAGGTCCTCGTCTCTTTGAGCTTCTGCTCCTGGGCGTCTTCATCCACGTGAAGATGGTTGGCCTCTCTCTTCCCCCGTTTCTGCCTCCTGGCTTGTATTTAATTTTTTTCATATCTCAAAAGAGATCGACTCAGACCACACCCTCCATAATCCTGCCTCCTTAACCTAAGAAAGACAACCCATTCCCAGATGGGATTATGACCACAGCCTGGAGGTCAGGATTTATAACATCTATTTTAGGGGACAGAGTTCAATCCATGACAGGGCCTTTGTTGTTCTCCCACTTAATCTGATGTGAGCTCCTGAGTATCCTCAGACCAGGTGGCCTCGCTGTGGATCATCCATAGAAAAGAGACGGTCTCTGACCACCCATGTAGTCCCACTCCCTTGAATATGAGCAAGTCTCAGAAGTTCCTCCCAGAACCCACACCCGTGACTGACTCTTGGCCGCCCCGCATCACTCTTTGCCTATAAACCCCAAACACCTGGTTTGCACTCTGTCATAAAGTACCCAGAAGTCTCTGAAATGTTGTGGGGGGCTGGTAAGTCCCAAATCTGTAGGTCAGGCGACAGGGAGACTGAGGTGAGAGTTTTGCCAAGATGTCTGGTTACCCTGTGGAAGCAGAGTACTCCCTAGGGACACTTCTGTTTTGCTCTCAAGGCCTTCCATTGGTTGGTGGAGGCCCACTCACATTATGGAAGGTCACCTGCTCTACCCAAGGCCGACTGATTGAATCCCATCTAACTACGCCACGACAGCAACCAGACTGGTGTTTGGCGAAAGCTCTGGGAGCCGCGGCCCAGCCGTGTTGGCACAGAGGCAGCCACCACACGTGTATGCCTGCAGACCCCACGGTGCACAGATGTGTATCTGTGTTGCTCCATTTCAAAGTCGGGACAGTTCCCAGTAAAGTCATCCATCCTCTGCCCCCGTGCCCCTGACTTCACTTTGTCATACACACGGATAGATCTCATTTCCTGCTGTAACTTGTCAGCTTAACGCCCATTGCCTTTGCAGGTTCCTTATTTTAAGTTAGAAGCTGAGGGGAAACTTTCAAAGGACCTGGAAGTACCTAGTCGTTGAGTGGAGGGACCAACACGAGGGGTTGTTGAGAGATGGACAGCCAGCTGGAAGGAAGGTGCTCATGGCCCAGCTGTGCCTGATCACTTACTGCACCCTCTCGCCTTTGCACTTTGCCTACAGGGTTGCAGGCCTCTCCCTCAAAGCATGCTGGCTACTCTGTGCGGATGGAGAACGCCGTGCCCATCGTCACGCAAGCCCCAGGAGCTCAGCCCCTTCAGATCCAGCCAGGTCTGCTTGCCCAGGTAATCCTCTGCCCTCCATTATCACTGGCATCGCCACTACCCATGTTAATGTTCACAGAGGGGACACTTCCCCACCAGCTCCCTCTCTGGTATGAATTAGGTCATTGGAATGTATCATGAATATTCTAATGGTCCCCAGGTGAATTACCTGCCAAAGTACCCGATTTACTATTCCAAGAAGAAATTTGGACCCAAGGAGAGTCGGGAAGTCATGACTGTCCTGGTGTCTTTATGATGCAGATTAATCTGGGAGACCTATGTGTGGACCCTAACTCCACTAGTCATGCTCTGTGACCTAAGGCAAGTCAGTTAGCATTTCTTTCCTTCAAATTCCTTTTTTGTAAAACAGAAATGATTTTTTTAGCAACAAAAGGAGGCTTAGCAATTACCTCCTCATCTTATAGCTAAAGAAACAGGCTCACAGAGACTGAGGATGGTGGGTGATGTCACAGAGATGAAAGTGGGTTGGATACTTATAATTTGTTTTGTCAAAGTCAGGTAACCATCGTGACTCAGTGAGGACAGTACCAGATCCTCTATGATACCTGAATCTTAGTAACAAATCATCCCATATGCTGTATACTTTATAGTTGTTCATTATTTCAATCCCCACAACAACCCAGTAAGGTATGTCTGTGTTTGGCAAAAAGGGAAATAAAGGTACAATGGCTGGCTCCAAGTCACACAACTGTTAAGTGACAGGACCACCATACAAACTCAGAAAGTCTGACGATAGCCCCTATATTTTAAACACCAAGCTGTCTTGTCTTTGTGTAGTCATTACTATTGTGGGGGCCAAGGACAAAACACTGTTAGTTTAGAACCACTCTTATTTTAAAATAAAGTCAGTTCCCAGAGTCTGTTGCCAAGGTATTCCTGTCTTAGGCTGGTTTCTCTAGAGAAGCAAAACCAGTGAAGCAAATAGAGATTTATCTCAAGGAAATGGCTCACACTGTTGCAGAGGCTGGTAAGGCCCAAGTCTGTGAGTCAGACGTCAGACTGGAGGCTTCTCCTGACTCACATAGCTGCAGGGGCTGACGGTTCCAACATCAGCAGGTCAAACAGCTGGCAGCAAGCTCACAAGCTGTGGAGGCTGACGAGCCTCGAGATCACAGGCAGCATGGAAGGCCACTGGCTCTTGTCCCAAGAATCGGAAGTTGGATGATGATGAGCCAGGTGCAGGCCACACCCCTGAAGAAGCTCCCCGTCACAAGTTACTGGCTGATCACATCAGACCACATCACGGAGATTACATTATATCACAGAATGGAAGACAACCACATTGTTACATAACCGCCAAAGCTGAGAATCATGGCCCAGCCAAGCTGACACATGACCTTAACCATCACAGTCCCAAAACACTTTATATGGACACTGCTAAAAAGGCAAGGAGGCCGCATGTTCTGACCTCCCTAATCCCACAAGAGGAAGACAGAATCACCATCAATAGCCCAAGGCCTATTCCTGCGAGGCCAGACATGCTGCCTCCCTCCAGCCCTTTCTCCAACCGTTCCTCCCAAAGCACCCACCACTTCTCTTAGGTTCCATAATTCGCTGCAGTGGCCACGCAGAACTCACAGATTATGAGGTTTATTAAGGAAGCACCAGGCTACAATTCAAGTTTAGGAAAAATACTGTCTCTCTCCCAGCCCGCTGTCTCTCAGCCAAGTCTCTCACAGTCTCTTTCCCAGCAGTGCACGTCCCTTCGTGTCTCACTCAGCAATGTGCGTCTCTTGCATCTCTTTCCCAGCAGCATGTGTCTCTCAGGAGTGCCTGTCTCAGCAGCACGTCTTCCTCAACCAGCAGTCCGAGAGAGCTCTGCCCCTAGGAGGCCTCCTTTTGAGCCTGGCAGAGTGGCTAAACTAGCCAA